ACCCCTCCGGTCAAGGAACTCTAACTTTGATCCCGACAGAACAAAACAATGACCCTATAACCTTATCAATTGGTGCCTTCATTGAAGAGACATGCATGTACCTCTTTTCAGCGGACTCCGTCTTTTAACCTACAGATGAACCATAATGACAGCAACCAAAAGTATCATTTTGAGTTAGTGCCAACATACTCCGAGTTGTCTTCAACGATATTACTTACTAACTTGAAGCTGAACTGTGTCGGTCAACGGGGTATGCTGGAGACCATATTCCACCACAATTCCATACTTCTTGCTATCTTTTAGTTTTACATTGTAAAGTTCAAACACTGCGACAGAGGATGTCAAATTTCCTGCCCAACCCACAGATGACTTATATGAAGACCTCGTTGAGGCAAAACCAGTTGAGTTGACAGCTATCAACTTTGTTTTCAGGAAGCCAGGACTCTTCCAAATACCAAACACCACTTCGAAAAGATCATTCTTTAGATCTCCTGAATTGTAATGCCACTTTAATGACACAGTGTGGCCGGTGAAGGCTTTTGTTGGCTTTTCTGGAGCAGAGATTATACTTGGATAAACTATAGCTTGAATGGATCCTGTAAATGATATTGCAAGGCATCGGTCATTATTTATCGCAAGGGGGAAAGGGAAGGGAAAATTTTGGTTGCGTTACAATAAAATCTACCTGATCCCCCATAAAGGCTCTGTAGCATCCTTATAATTCCCCCCTCAATGATTTTGATTGAGTCAATGATTCTGGATGATTGTCTAATACTGTTAATATTTTTTAGGTATATTTCTAGGTTGAAGATCTTTCGGGCTCAGCAATTGATTATTAGTTGATCTGTTATTTAACAATTCAACAATTAAATATAAATTGGGAAATGACAATTATTTTATTGGCTTTTGCCTTTTTGGACAAAGCGTTTTTCATGTGATACGTCTAATATTAAGCCGGAACGCATAAAAAGACAAACTACGAGAGACGAATAATTCATAGTATTATGGGCGGCCAAATTAAAACGAACAGTCGCCGTGGTCAATGAAGTCTCGGCCGTGTTGGAAGTTGTGAAATTGTCTTCTGGCAAAGGAAAAGAAAAAGAAGTCGCTACGAAGACCATGATTTCAAAAAGAAACAGAAACGAGCATGATGTCCTGGGGAGTTAAGAAACAGAAAATGGATGATGAATAAATACCAAATCTGAGATGAACCTTCTCTCAAAGAAAGACTGAGGGTATCACAAAACAATTGAATTTCTTCTGAGCGACTTTAAAGACCAATCGTGAAGGAGCCCATTTACTTCAAGCACATAACTGTGGCTCTTTTTCTAATTATAACACGATCTCATTTTAAAACGTGCTTTGCCC